CCTGCACTGATTGAAAACACATGGACTCAAAATACATGAAGCTTGAACCCTGGTAAACCGAGTTTTCTGCATTATATTAGTTGCAACAGAATACAGATGATGTAAACGTGATAGAAATGAATGTAGATTTCAGCATGAGAAACTTAAAAGCTATTGGTCCAGATGTTTAGGTTTATAGAGAGAATCAGGGGTCAAGTGTTGAACTCTGGTATGCCTCCAGACGGCCAGCAACGTCCTGTCAGTTTCCTACAATAAAAACAGGAGTCCTTTCATGCAGCATCTCTCTTATCTGAGACATTCCACTTTACAGCATCACGGATCACTGCATGATTTTTAATTCCTTCACATCATAGATACGGACGATTAAATACGTGATGACAAAAAATGTATTAAACTCTCATAGATGCAGCACAGTTACACCAAACTAAAACAAGCGGTTAACAACCTTAAAATGTCAAAGTTGCCGCTCAGTCTCGCACTTTCACTTTTTGAGCTCAAAACATTCAAACGCCTGCTCTTTAAATATATAAAGCACCAAAAATATTTCTTTTAAAAGGTCCCAGAACATGCCTCTGTGTGTGTAATTTTCTTGCAAAGTATGACCTGTTTCCTAAAACCAGGGGGACTTCATTTAAATATTTGAATATAATGAGTTTAAAAGTAAATTTGAGCCATTTATATCACAATAAAGACACTTTGGGAAATTCAAAGCAAGTTTCTGTAAAAAGACACAAACACATCCAATCTGTTACTTCAGCTAATGCTAGTTAGCTTTGTCACTAGGGTAAACTTAAAAAATCAAATATCACGTTTATTGCTATATGAATATATATGCTATATATGATGGGTGAAAGCAAAAGACTCCATCGAGGAAGACACATATGAAAAGGAGTCGAGGGATTTTTAATTTCATAGGAGCTAAAAATTAATTCGCATTTTACAGCTCTTTACAAATAAGAAGGGAAATTTCAGCCAAAAACAATATTTCATTATTTTATATATTTTATACCATGTTATCTTTACCTGACGGCGAGAAAGAGCCTCACACCTGACATGATAAAATCTCAATCACTGCTCATTTAACTACTAATATTGACATTCACAGCTCCATCCTCCTTAGATAAGTACACTGACGCTGATATGTAATTTGACCTTTGAAGCTCATAAAAACAGAAGACCTTTTTTTTTTTTCCTCCAAAGGTGGCGGTGCCAAAGTCTAAACTGAGAGCAGATGTCACCGTCTATGTAACAGCTCAGTGTACAGTCAAAGAAATACTGTTTATCCTTTCTAGTTAAACTGTTTTGCTAGTCTTTGGAGAACTTCATGTGAATAGATCAAATACTGAGCTTTGACTTCAACAGTCTGATTATTAACATTTAACAATGTTGACTGTGTGACAGCTACCAATAAAAGGCTTGATGATATTATCACCTCTGCCACATTTAAGGATTGAAAAGCGCAGGAGGACTGAAACTCGATATTATGTTACAGGCAGCCAGCCAGAAAAAAAGAGACACCTAATGGAGTTCCTCTCCCGGATCTGTCCGAGCTGAAGGCTCAGCTATAAGCCTATACCTGTATCTTCATGCTCTCCACCGGGCAGGGAGCCCTAATTCATTGAATTTGAGAATGCCACAGCCTCAATAATGTTGCTGTCCACTCGAGTGGCGTGCAAGCTCCCGTGCCAACTGCGGGCTTTCTGAGATTTTGTGTAAAACCTTTTTTTTAAAAGCCTCTGCATCTCCTGCACCTCATCCGTCTTGTGTCGACAACAACTGAATAAATGCTGCCACTCTAGCCGAGAGCTCTCGTTTCGCTGCCCAAAAATAAAACTGCCGGACGAAAGCGTGTTCATTAAGAGGAGACTGAATGTTTTATACTCTGCCTTTACAGTGTGGATTAGTGGAAGTGTCAGGTAAGATTTGCTTCCAATGATGAAACATTTAAAACGGGACAATCTACAAATGTGACATAATGGGTTGAAGCTGGTGTTTAGTATGAAAAAATAAAAGAGATTCAATCTAGATATGACACGAGGCAAGTTAATAAGACGTGCTGGAATATTTTCTGCTGCAGGAAACCACACTTTACCTGGTGACAACTTTCACAATGTTCAAAGCAACATGATCTTTCTATCCTGTTCTTACTCTGGCGTGAGCACCAATCAATTCCACCTCTTTCTCCTTAACGAAGGAACATGATGTTCAGATGACTCACTGTCACCGTCAATGACAATAACAAGTGTGTGTGCGGCATGAGAAGACAAGTGCAGTGGTCAGTGTCACTCAGTGCACTACAGCACTACAACATGTACCGTACGCACACCTTCAAACACTCTCATGTTAACACAGGATCCAAGACACCGGAGCTCTTATCAGATCTGCGGCTTCACGGCTTCCCTGTGCAACTGTGAGGTTTCAAGCCTCTGCAGAGACCGTGACCTTATATAACCAAGCCATTAATATTGATTGTTTCCAAATTTGCGAAGCGAGGGGATCTTGCAATATGAAAATAACACCCTTTCTTCTTTCCAGTAATGATATCCACAGCCCTCCAAGGCCTGTTCTCTGACCCACTCAAGTCTTACAGCGGAGCTTCTGCTGAAGTAAGCCCTTTCTACTTAAAAGGTATTAGCACTCAGGGTTAAAACAGTAAATGCTCTGCATGCAGGATAAGAAAATGTGCATCCTCAGAAAGTCTAATACAGCTGGCGTAAAGAGAGAAACTGCGCTTGAGCGAGTGTCTGCCGCCTTTCAGATGTTGGTTTCTGCGGTTGGCCCGAAAAGTCTCAGCGTGGAGCTGTAATCCTAAAGAGTGTCTTACAAGACTGTAACACCACCATGAGCCATAAACGTTTTTTTTTATTGTTTTATTTTTTTGAGTAACCCTGCTCTGAAGTGTGCCGACACAATAATCCAACTGTAGTTACTTGTCAATGGAGCACTTGCACTTTAACATCAGTGCTTTATCAAGTGACGCAATTACCCCATCACTGCTTTATGAAACTTTCCCTCTGTTTTCCTGCAATGTGAATATTTACATTAATACATAATCTGCTTTGTGAGTGTCTTTTAAAACAGCCAACTGTTAGGGTGTTATAATGTTAACGTCTGTAAGAGCCTATAGATTAGATGGCAGACCATAACAGGCGTGTTTCTATGTAACTGTGCATCAAAGCTACAGATGGCAACTCTCTGATGCTTAAAGATAAGATAAAAAATTAATAGCCTGTTGTTACAACAGTAAAAGCTGAGCAGGCGTCCTGTGTGACGACACACACCGGAGCTACACAGTTAAACATATCAGAAGAAAATTAATTCAGGATATCATTCAGAACTGATTTCTAATAAATTCTGACTTCTACTAAGTTTTTAAAAAGTTCTCAAAACTTTTCTTGAAGCCGCCTGCTGCTAACGCTCCCCAACAGTCGTTCTTATTCTTTGCACAAAGGTCAAAATGAAGTTTCAGTGCAGGGAAACTCCTCTAAAGCTGCAGAGGTTGTCCCACTGAACATGTGTTGTTTTTTTTCACCCATTCAGCATTACATAACAGACCGAAGGCGTTCTTTTTCCTGTCTTTCTCTTTCCCAGACGCACTTTAATCCTGTGCATAAAAGGGTGGGGTGAATATGGGTCAGCAGGTTAGGAGTGTCTCAAAGTCAGACTTGCGAAAAAAGAAATCAATCCACGAAGCCTCCTAACTACCTGTCTTTGCCCCGCTATTACATAAGTGCTCCGGCTGTGCCAACCCACAAAGTCACACAGTTTCCCTTCAGTGGTGTGTGTGTGTGTGTGTGTGTGTGTATAAATACACGCTCAAGTGCAGTGATTTCTCTGTTTCTTTTCTAATTAAACAACCGCAGTTTTTCACGGGCAGTGGAGGAGTGGAGGTGTGGGGAACTCTTGTGTAAAGTGAAAAGATCTGCGATGATGATTTCTGTTCTCAGTTGCGCGCCTCTGTTTATGGCTAAACCTGTTACATAACCAGCTTACATTCCACATTCACCATATCACACTCTAAATATACCCTGGCGCACAGGAAGAGTGCGCACGCAAAAGCCACCGTTCAATGAATTAATTGTCCACAGCTCGCCTCGCTGTCATGTACGCACCGAGTGTGTTTGTCAAGAATCAGCAGAGAAATCAGTATTTCTTTGAACTTGGATGAGCCCGGTTAGCCTGTGCTGGAGACAGCCGAGAGGGGGTGTGGTTAAATACTGTCTGTACTGTACAACATGGACGGGACGTGGTGGGTAAATCATGTACAAATGAACTCGTCCTCAGCAGCGATGCAGACAGACTTTTGACAGGCTAAATTGACAATACAGGCCCGGTTAGTTTTTTTATTGTGATCATGTGGAGGTTTGCAGCGCCTTCATGCTTGCAACAGTGTTGGAGAGCTAAACAAAATCCAGCTGCTGGGGCGTCTCTTTTTTGTGCACACAGGAATAGCCTAAAAATCTGAGCTGGAGATGTAAAAAAAATCCAGCCAGACGGCGCTGTGTGCCGGATGAGGAATAGTGGAGGACACGTCCCCTTACAAAAGGAGAATGGGACTGATCGATAAACTAGCCCACAGTTTGCCAAAAAGTTCACTTCTGACACTTAGACAATATCGCGTCTGAGAGGACAGGTTGGCCCTTTTGGCACCGAGACACGCTCCCGTTGGTCAATTCGAAGTTGCTGGGTAATTGATTTATCTTGCAGTCAGAGTAAATGTGACATCTGTGACCGTATCACCCCCCCTATGATTTGAGCTGTCAGTGGAGCCTGAAAACCAGCAACACACACCAAGGCACTAATTACAGCCGAACGCGTAAAAGCCGCGGTGGCACTAAATAAAGAGCCGTGTCTCCGTGGTTGGGTGAATTTAAGACACTGTGCAGTTATTTATGGAGGAGGGAAGCGATTTAATTCATTTTGAAGTTTGATTTGAGGAAAAATCCGCCATCGGTGTTGATTTCCCACACAGTAAATAAAGCGAATCACGGTCCGCTTACCTCTGTTGGTGCTGGAACAGGTCTGCCTTCGAACCGGGGCTGGATGGTCCGCTTTCCGGAGCGTCTCCAGGTTTACCGGGGTTTCCCTGACCGGGGTAGCCGGCTCCGAGGCGCTGTTGCCCGGGTCGCTCGCTGGATCTGGAGGGGACTCCATGTTGAATTTCAGATTTACTGTTTAACTACCGCTAGTACTTCAAACTAATTCTATGCGATCTGTGAGCTCCGGCACTGCGTCTTGCTATCTAATTTAGAGTAGAAGTAAGAAATGAGAAATGCGAGTGTGTCTGGAGGTGGGTGTGTAGGTTTGATTGTCCACTAGCAGCGCTAGTGAGAGCTCCAGTCATGCACACTGAAAAGGGAGAGGTTGTCAATAGCCGAAGAATAGATGTAGGCCTGAAAGTAATCCATGCTGATCGACCCTGCGCAGTTTTACATGGGAATGGCAATATTTTATTACTGTCTAACCTTGCTCAGCAGCTTTATACATGTGTGTATTATCTTACTCACAACTTGGGCACATTTAATAACACTACATGTAGGCTGCTGCTGAATCTGACCCTGAAAACTGGCCAAAAAATGCCCAAATGCACCCACAGTGACATGCATTTGCATCATCCCATGATTTCATTTTAATAGGCTGTTAAACTGAAAATAATGAACATCATTACCATGAAAGCTGCAGGTCTTGTGCTTGTTATTTTGGCTTTAATCTGCAAATCTACTCCTGCTAAATATAGTCAGTATCATGCACGTTATTATATTGCATTATAAACACACAATGTCTGCAAGTTCTCAGTGAAAAGCTGTGTAGGTACAGAAATTATTTACTGCTAAATGATTCAGTGTGGGTGCCTGGCTGCAGCTTACAGCAGTCTGCATGCTGCTCCCGACCATACAACAACTTTCATGTCTGAGAATTCAAACAAGGAAAGCGCTCTTCATTATTTTCATTATCATCACCACCATTATCATCATCACCACCATCATCATCACCATCTCCCACCGTCCTATGGGAGGAGCGGACTGCATTTCTGAGTAGTCTGCTGCCTCTTCCTCCCTCACTCACTCACTCACTCACTCACACAATAACCTGAGAGTCTCCCGCCCTCCTCTAATAAAACTTTCACATTGGCACCAGTTTGGAGATCTTTAAGATACACCGCCGCGTGCAGTTGGTATCAAAACGTCACTCTGGCAGCCGGCACCCGTGCACCGCTTGTTGCGCAGCAATTACAAACACCATGCTTTCTGCATGTGATCAGTGGGCGAGCTGCGAGGCGGAAACCCCGCCTCTTTAAAGCGGTGCACGTGGACTTTGACATGGTCCTGCCCTCTCTGTGCAGAGCCAGACTGCTGATAGACAAGTCGGTGATAACACAGAGAGCACTGAGCCAAAAACTATTAAACTTATACAGTGATCAAAAAACACTTTGTATATTCATAAGGCTGACCTTACAAGGTCTTTCTTATTGTCTGTGAAAACTACCTTCGTTCACACAACCTCTTGTAACCTCTTGATGACTGCATTTGATTGGGACCAGTATACCTGCCTTTACACATAAACAAAGTTAATTTAATAAGGTTTAAAAAACTATCTTTTCCATTTCAAAGCTCATGCAGTGTCAGCGGCTATTGTGATAAATGGTAACACTTTATGTGAATAGCCCGCCTACAGAAAGTTTATAGAGCCTTTTAAACCTTTCAACAGCTTTTTAGTTGCGATTCAACGATTCAAGTTTTTCTCTTTGTCCGTAGATGTTCATCCACACACAAAGCAACTATATATTCTCAGAATAATTTAGTTCAGCTATTTACTGAACCTGCTGCAGTGAATAGTTAAAGTTCAGCTAAGTTATTCTGAGATATGTATGTTCATGAATCCTACATATAAATCTCATATAGAATGTGTAAAGATTTTTGTTTCGAACAAAGCAAAGTACGTGTAAGATCACATGGCAATGATCACTTATTCTGCCGTACTTAAATTATTGTGTGGACACTTGGGGCAACACATACATGATACAACGTAACATGAAGCCACTGGTTACATTACAGAAAAGTAAGAATTATTCATGAAGTAGATCCAAGAGAGCACACCAACAGTTGTGTTTATCAAGTCAGGATTATTTAAACTGAAAGACTAATTTGAGTTACAGACACTGTTAGTTGTATTTAGAGCAAAATGCAGAGTGTTACCAGAACATTTATAAAAGTTGTTAAAGCACCAGTTTGCACGGACTACAATAAAACAGATGTGTGTTTTGGTGGTGGGCGTTAAACTGTCAGACCATCTATTTCTTATGATTATTTGTGTTTTAAGAGAGGGGCAGGTAATATGTCATGGAATATGTGTTAAAAAAAATTGATTGTGACTCTAATTGCTGCATATAGACATGAGCGGAACAAAGAAAATGAAAATTGTCAAATAAACTCTCCAGATAATCTATTAAACATCTTCAAAACAAAGCCAAACAGCTGAACTGATGAAACTCAACTAATAAGCTGCTAAAATGTCACAAGTGATCTAAAAACTATCCGTAGGCGGACACTCCAAATAAAGTGTTATTGTTATAGTGATAAATTATGTAATTCAGTCCTATATTATCATACTGCTACTTTCTTTTCTAAATAAGACATGAACAGCATAAAAGACAACAAATGTAAGGGTTCTGTCACAGACTAAACACAGCCAAAACAATACACATAAACACTGTATCTGACTGCATCCACACCCAACAGCTGTGCTACATGACTGCTAAATGTTACGTTATAGGTGATGTACTTTTAGCAGAGTCTTGCTGATGTCCTCTTATTTCGTCTTGTCCTTTATTGGGGTTCAGTGTCTTAGGTTTGGTCTCCTCGGCTTAGCATGGGAGTTTTGTGCAGCTTTTATTAATGGCGTTGACCTTTCATGTATTTGTTTGTTTTCAAGCTGGATAAACACTTCATTAGTCAGGTGACATTGTTTACATGAAGGCAAATAGTGTCAAACATGGCTGTGAGACAAGGTGAGAGACGCAGAGCACGATGGTTAGCAAAGCTTTTGTCTAGTAGCTAAGTCAACACATTTTTAAGTCCCTGAGCATGTGGCAGATTTGGAAAACGTAAAGACATGAAGACGATAACGTGAGATATTTAAGTCATATTAAAAGATACTGAACACACTAAATCCTACACAAACTAAAGTCAATATTTGAAGCTTGGACTAGTCACAGGGGGAGACTGTGTTTTCATGTTTCCAGTGCAGCACTCTTTGCATGTAACTCACCAACAAGAGTATGATATAACTTTTGGAGCCGAGGCCGACTTTTTGACAGAGAGCCAGAAGGAATCTCTCACTGCCAAGCGAAGAGGCCAAGTTCCATTCCTTCTGCTCGGCTTTAGCTCCTCCAAATTTCCCTGACCTCCTGACCCACTGCAATTTGACCGTGTGAACCCTACTCTCACATTCCACGCCTGTTGCATGTTCAGCATCGATGCCGAGGATCTTGAACTTGAGAGAGAGAGATGTGAGCATACTCAGAATCCTACCTCCGAATAGCAGAGGAGCACATAACATGCGCATAACCGGCATGAGAAGTGCATGCTTGCATGTGCACACCCACGCTTGTAATTTAAAATATGCATTGCAGGTGAATCTAAACACTCCTTATACTGTGTGTGTGTACGTCTGTATTTAATATGAAGAGATGAGATTTGCAGCTACAAAAACCAGAGTAATATTACAAACAAAAGCAACATGAACACACATTGAGGCCAGCACGCTGCGCTGTGTTTAAGCCAAAAGGATGCAAGGACAAGTTTGATGCTGCCTGTTTAATTTTTGAGTTAAAATGAATTATGCTGCTGTCACATTGTTGAGCAGGGGAAGGATGTGGCGGATGTGAAGCGAGTAGAGTAAGCATGCCTGCCTGTGTTTAAAAATGATTGATTAAGCTGACACCGGCTCAGGGGTGCAACACCGCTCTATTTTTCTCCCTCATTATGTAAGGCTATATTTCAAATCAGGAGTGCACTGGAGGAAGACACCAGAGACACTAGACAGGACACCCTTCAAATAAAAAGTTTATCAGACAACAGCCAAGAAGACTGATGAGTTTCTCCTCTAATCTTGTCTTGGGAGTGGCGATAGAAAAGAGGGAAAAATGTGTTTGTCAAAGCACGAGGTGATCTTTAGAAAAAACACACAGGAAAATGCGTTTGACCAGTTTGGCCACAAGCACAGGATTCATAATGTTTGTACAGTTCATTTTAGGGAAATGTTTGTTTATATCTACAATCAGGCAGAGTACAGAAGGTTACATGTAGGGCATGAATTTTTAATCATGTATTAATTTTCCTTTAAAAAGATACATTCAGCTGTGTTTACAAAAAAATAATTAATTCAGATGAGTGCAAAAATGTTGCTCATAATTTAAAGCAGACACGATGAAACCCACTCTACTCCACGCTCTGCACTAGTTGTCTATTTAAACAGCAGGAGGAAAAAAAAAGTATTCTCAGAATGACATTTTTTTTTTATGCGGACATGGTGACATATCTTTGTTGCCTTACAAATCGGACATCAGAACCCGAGCCCAGCAAACACGCTGCTCTTTGCATGCTCATGCAGTGCAGAGTGCCAGAGTGTAATGAAAGAGACATATTAATGGCCTTTCACTTATTCATGCGTCGGAAATGAAGAGGCACAGTCACATTTTGAAACGGTTGACAGAATAAAGAGCCAACATTGGGGAAATGATTGTATTTATGATTTCACTCTGACAGATGAAGGTATCAAGAGAGAGACGGAGTGACACATTTCTGACAGTTCAAAGTGTTAAATGATGTGATGTATGGCAACATACTCGAGCATGGGGGCACATGCTCTTATATATTTTCACTTTAAGAATCAGCGCCTCACAAGTGCAGACCCGGGAGCCGGCTGAAAAGTCATTGCTGTTATTTCAGCAAACATGGAAAGTGCTGTCTATTGTACAGTGTGTACACATAATGCAAAGGAATATCCAAAGTGAACTACAGGAGAGCTACATGTTGGATTAGCTTTACACTTTCAGCAAAGACAGATGAGTCCACAGTGTTGCTTCCCTCTCAGTGTGTAGCCCCTCGCTCAGAGACAGTGCTACCAATAGCACCACCTAGCAGCAGCTTGACCACAGTAAATCACTGTGTCCACACTGTGCCTCAGGTTGTTAACACATTATGTCCACATCTCTGTAGAAAGAGGAATTCCTTTGCATACTAAATCACAAGTGCATTAATGTGAGTCAATGTATTTAAATCGACCATTTCTACAAGTTTTTTTTTCCAGGGTCATATTAGCAAAGATG